GCTGCGAGGCCGGCACCGGCCGTGAAACTTTTCCGCCGTTGTCGCTATTCAAGTGGACACCGAGTTCGCGAGCAGCGAGGGGGGCGAGGGCTGGTGAACGGGGGTGACTCCTCCGTCGCTCGCGGCCCGTGAGCAGCGGGACACACGTTTCCACAGGGCCCCTGGCCGCGATCCCTGGCCAGCTGCGCTCTGATAAGGCTCCTGTTTACTCTGGAGCTGCTGGGAAAGTGGAGCAGCGAGGCAGCACTGAATGGGATTTGCTTTACGAAAGGAAAAGCCGGAATTTAGCAGGTTATAAACTCTGAGCCATGTCAGTGTGGAGATAAGGAGTGCGGAGCTCCGCTTTCCCTGCGGAAGGGGAGCCGGCTCAGCCGCTGCGCTCACAGGACACAGCGATCCCCCACGCTGGGGTGTTTGGGCAAACAAGGAATCAATATTCCCCTTCGTCCCGACCTTCCTGATTATCTTGTGCCTCGGTCACCTGCTCCCCCCGGTCCTCGCTGTCTCTGCATTAGGAGTGCAGCTCTGTTAGTTTCTCTTTTTACGCATCTTGCTTCTTTTCACCTCAGAATATTTTTCCTTTAACTCTTAAGCCGGTAGGCAGAACCGCCGGCAACAGGAATGTACCCTGTGCTCAGAAATGTTCTGTTTTGATGTCAAACCCTTTCCTAGCAATTCCTGGCATGCCTTCCCAGCTGCTCAGTTGCACAAGTCCGCAGCGCCCTAACCAGCTCTCCGAAATCTCTGTGCTCCAAAATCACCACGCTCCAAAATCTCTGCTCTCAACAGCTCCTGCCCGGTGACCCCTGGGCCTGGCCGGGCTCTGCCGGCCTCTCCCCACGGCTCTTCGTGCATCTCTCTCGTCATCTGGCTGCTGGCCAGAGTTCAAAACAAGTTTTGGCCTGCGGAGGTCAGATATCCGCAGATAAGAGCTCCCTAGATCAGTTTGGGATGTTTTCTGAAAAGATCGGCATCCAATTTGCCCTATTGCCTTCCTGAAGCACCAGACTGATTGTTGTCGAAATGTATTTTGTCCAAATGCAAAACTTCCATACTTTATAAGCAAAAATTGCTGAAAATTCTTGAAACACTGCCTAAAAATATAAATATTTTAGTTTTCGCCTTAAATAATTAGCATTTCAGAGATCAATATTTTCCACAAAAAGAAACATAAAAGGAACAGAATTATTATTCAAGCAGCCCTAAAACAATATCCCCTTATGTACGTGCACATATACCCAGGAAACCTTATCACCGAGCTGCCTGAAAAGGAGCATTTGTCCCAAAAATGCATATAGAAATTTGATATTAGGTGCACGGTTATCAGCTTAGATAATCTACACTGAAACTTTAGATCTTTGGGGGTATATCACAATGCCTGTTCTCTCCATGCACGCCTCAACCTCTGCGTTTGTAAGGGCTCGGTTCAGATTTCAGGGGCCGGGCTCTTGGACAGACATTGCAGCCCGTGTGTATGCACAAGCACTGTGCAAACGTGCCAGTTATTTGCTGTCTGGAATATATTTGTTCTCTTCCCTTCAGGAGAACTGCAATCCCATCGATGTGATGCTACAGAAACAGCAGGTTAGGGAAAATGGGAGCAAACGGAGACTGCATCGTCCCAGGTCCGCGTTTTCTGTGCTTATTTTCTTGCAAGGCCAGACAAAACGCCGGCTGAATGAGGTAATTATTGAGGCAGCAGCATTAATCATTAAGCATTAATCATAATAATCCTCTTTAGCTGGGGTTTGCACGTTTCCACCACGAAAGCAGAACATCTGCTAACGCAGGACACATTTGCAAATAGGCTCCGTGCTGCAAGGCGAGAAGAAGGAAGCTCCTACCTTCAACTGGACAGCTCAGATCTACACGTACCTCACCAGCTCCCTCTACATAGGGTCTCCTGTCCTATACACGCAGCAGCGGTGCCTTATGGAGCAGGGACACGGGCACAGCATCCTTCCTGGGAAGGAACGAGCAGGAGCTCCCACCACAGCAGGGTGCTGGGCAGCTTCAGTTAAGCAGGAACCATCTTCATCCTGCCAAGAGAAGGGACAGAGACCCTGCAGCATCCCTAGACACGGCTTGTTGCAGCACCCGCCTCCTCCCCAACGACAAAAAAAGTAGCTTTTCACAGGACCATACACCCTCCTGCAGGCTGCTAATGGGCAGGAGGGACCCCATTAAAGGAAACATTTAGTCCTAAATTGACTGTTTTTTTTCTAGAGAGCTTCTTTTGCCTACTGTTGACTTCCAATGCCTGTTTTTCTCTTGGGGACTAGTTAGATGAGCTCAGTCACTGCTAGGAGCTATATTCCACATGCCTAAGAGTTTTGCAAGACTTCCTAGCACCTGAGAAAGTCCCTTAGCATTGGGACAGGATGTGGTGTGTTAGATATGAAAAGGGATTATGCATTTATTGTCCAATGGTGAAAGATTTCTGGACTACAGCACGTTTCTCTGGAAATACTGCTGGGTCCAGGAATGTCTTCTTTAAACATTAACTTTTTTTTTTTTTTGGTAGTGGTTTAGACTGTTGGGCAAAATGAAACAACACTAAGTCTTGCTGCTGCAGTGAGAGTCTCTGTTCGTCTCTCTCGGGCCTGTTTGCAAGGGCAGTTCCCATGAGCCGGAGCCAGGAAACTGAGACCAAATGTGCCCAAACACCCAGCAGCCGCGGGTAACGCGATAAGGGGATGGCCTCGTGGGCCACGTCTGTCAGATAAGGGGCAGCAGCAAGAAGAACCCGAGGACCACATTGCAGGAATAGTTATCTGCTCCAGGAGCCACCCGGCGAGTGTCTGCAGGCAGGAGATAGGAGCGCTTTGCCCCAGGAAAGCACCGTGTCCCGTGCAGGGAGGAGGGACGAGGGGCTGTGCCAAGGGATCCCGTGGGTGCGGGCATGGAGGAGCCACGTTAGCACCTGCTGCACCCTGTTGCTCCTCACGCTGGGCAGATCCTGCCGGGGAGCTTTGCGCTGGAACCCCCCAGGGCAATCCTCACGTTATTCCATTGCCCATCTGCTTGTTCTGCTGTACGGGAGCAGCTCTGCAAGGTGCCTTGGGCAGGTGACATCTCCCAAGGACAAGATGAGGTCCCCAGAGCCAGGGGCAAGGCTGCTGCGGAGGCTGCCCGTCTCGGCAGGGCTGTTCCCCCATGCAGCCCTTCTCCTCCTGCTCCCCTTGCAGCTGCGCCTGGATGGAGCTCGCAGCAGTTCCCTGCTCCTTTCCCAGCACTGGGATGCTGCAAAGTGCCTGCCCGGCGGGCAGCTTCCCATGGAGCCGGAGCTTCCCTGAGCTCTTGGTCCCTACACAGCTCCCTCCCATCAGCTCCTGCTGCAGTGACCAGACGGACACACACAACAGGGACCTCGGCACATCGGCTGCCAGCAAACATGGGCTCCTACTCGCAACTCTGGCTCATAAACATTATATTTTAAAAACTTCATTAGGAGGGGAAAATTGCTCTTTCCTGCATCACAAACACTGTATTAGCTGAACAGCTCAAAGGTAGCAAACAGCACAAGACCCTTCATAATTAAAGACAACATTAGCTATTACAGTGGACAACGTTGAACAGTGAAGATTCCTGAAAGCATTTTCACTTCTCCTCATTCCCCCAAGGAAAACAAATGAAATTGCATAACGCTGAATCAGACCTACGGAGTCTACCCTCAGCCTCAAGACACCAGGTGATTTTGGTTACATCCAAAGTAAGGGCTGAGCATCCACCCAGCAGTCGGAGACACCTCCCATGAGAAGCTCCCAAGCACCATCCAACTGCTTGAGAGGCACCAACAGCTCTGCAGCACGCCAAGGTCCTCATCTGCAGTGATACCCAGGAGACCAAGGAGTATCACATGGAGCCCAGCAAGTTTCAGGGCACAAGCACGGCAGGTTGACCCCTCTTGGCAAGCCAAGAAGGTTTTGGCCGGGATGAAACGGCTCGGTAGGAACATGCTTGGATCGGAGACGGGAGCAGCACTGTAACAGGCGGTTACGGTGTGGCTGAAAGGCACTTTTCATGGTCGTGTCAAGACAAGACAGGCCGCTGTGACTCACGCTCTCTTCTCCCATGCCCCGAGTGCCTTTGCCACACAGGAGCTATTGATAAGGCCTTGAAAGAGCAGGAAGTTTTGTTGGCAGAGGGAGCTGCACGGGCAGGAGGGAGCCGTGTGGCTACACTGCTAATGAGCCTAAGTGGAGCACTGTGCCCAAAGGCATTAACAAGTTTCCAAGCCTTGACGGCAACATCAACAGCACAGAGCTCAGCTCAGCCGCTGCAACCCTTCCTATTAAAAGGTGCCTTTTCACTGTTACGGGGAAGTCTGAAAGCTGCTTTAGAGGAGATCAAGGTTGGACGCAATGATCTTGAAGGTCTTTTCCAACCATAATGATTCTGTAAGGGATGGGCTGGTGCTCAACCAGGGCACAGGTTTCACAGCGCCAGCTCTGCTGCCCACAGCAGCAATGTGACAGTTGTGGGAAAAATACTTTGCCAGGTCCCTCTAGCAAGTGCTG